CCCCCCCCCCCCCCGCCCTCTGCAGTACGTGCCGACCACCGGTGCAATCATCGAGATCCACAGCAAGCGCATCCAGCTGTATGGAGCCTACCTTCGCGTCCACGCCCACTTCACCGGGCTCAGGTGAGGAGCCTCTGCGGCAGCTCCCCTGCGGGCTGTCTTGAAGGGGAAGCTGCCATGAACTTCCCCCAGGAATGATTTCTGCGAAGTGGGGAGGCTGGTGCTCTCCAGCAACCGCTGCCCCCTTCCTGCCTCAGGTACCTGCTGTACAACTTCCCGATGACCTGCGCCTTCATCGGCATCGCCAGCAACTTCACCTTCCTCAGTGTCATCGTGCTCTTCAGCTACATGCAGTGGGTGTGGGGGGGCATCTGGCCCCGCCACCGCTTCTCTCTGCAGGTCACAGAGGATCTCCTCCCTCTCCCCTTTCATGATCCTTCTTTGAGGGGTGGGCTGGGGCCTGTCGTGGGGCTCGGAGGGGCGGAAGGGCCCAGAGCTGCTCGCTGCTTTCTCCCCCACAGGTAAACGTCCGAAAGAGAGACAGAGACAGTTCCCGGAAGGCAGTGCAGCGAAGGATCTCTGCCCATCCCCCAGGTGAGCGTGACGGTTGGGGAGCTGGGTGAAAGGGGGCCCCCCAGTTACCCGAGTTTAGGCCCCCGCAGCTGGGCTGAGGGTCAGAGGACAGGCTGGAGGAGGTGCTGCCTGGGTGCAGCTGCCCTAGCCCTCCCCTGCCCGCCCCCCACTCTGGAGGCACAGGGCCCCAAGGCCAAGAGGAGTCAACGCAGCTGTCAGAAATCACAGAGGACGGCAGCGGCGGTGGGGGGAGCCCTGAAGACCCCCCAGGGGCAGGTATGGTGCCACGGCTCGCCCACCCTCCCTCCCAACACCACCTCAGGTGCCCCCTTCCGCCTCTGCCAGTCTGACCTCCACATTCCCCTTGTGGCTACAGAGGGTCTGCTCTTGGGGGAGGAGAAACCAGATCAGCAGCCCCTGACTGGAGAGGAGGAGCTGGAGCCAGAGGCCAGTGATGGTGAGGGGCACTGGGCACGGGGGGAGGGGGGTGGGGCGTGGGGGTGCCTGGGGGGAGGGGGGTGGCATATGGGTAGGGGGGAGGTTATATTGGTTGGGAGAGAAGCGTCCTTGGTTGTTTAATTTCCCATTTAACTTTGATCCTCCCTCCCCTGGCCCAGGTTCAGGCTCCTGGGAAGATGCAGCGTTGCTGACGGAGGCCAACCTGCCCGCTCCTGGCCCTGCCCCTGCCCTTGCCCCCGAGACCCTGGGCAGCTCTGAACCCTCTGCGGGCAATCTCCGACAGCGCCCCACCTGCTCTAGTTCCTGAAGAGAACAAGGCAGAATCCCCACATTCCAGCCCTTTCCCACCTGACCCCCTTCCCTTTCCCGTGGCTCCCCCCAATAAACTATTTTCATGCCAGCTGCTCCCCTGACTCCTTGAAATGGATTTGGGGCCGCTTGAAAACTCCTCTGTGCCGCCCTGAATTGGAGGTTGTCTTGTTGGGGGCTTCCGGTGGGGAAGGCCTCCAGACCCTGGACTGTTTTGGGTACAGCTGTTTCCATTCACAAACCTAGGAAGTCCAAGGAGAGAAAACCTCTCCTGCCCACTCCATCCACGTGATTCTTTCATCTCCCTCTGGAGAGGGGGATCATGTAGGGCGGGTCTGGAGAGCTGGGCTACATCACTCTGGCCTGTGCACCCCTCCCTTTCTCCGTCCATCGGGAGGCAGAAGACAGGAAATGACTGCCATGGATGTGGTATGATTTTTACCGAAACAGCATTTTGTCGCCCAGGCCCCATGCTACCCACAGCTGTTTTCCTCTCCGATTCCAACCAGGTGGCCCTCTGTTCGGTGCTCCCCTCCTCACCCCTCCACACCCCTCTACATAACTTCAGCCTTTTGATTCTCAGCTACTGGCTGCTTTCCACATTCCAATCTTCTTTCAGAACCCAGGCACCCCGGCCTCCAGATGAAACAGCTGCATGTGGCTTCCCCCCCCCCCAATCCCCGGCCCCGTGACTCAGGCCCTCTGAAGGGACCAGCCCGCTTCTTGGCATTCACGGGAAAAGGGGGGGCAGGGGGAGGGGGGCTAGGTGGTGACATCATAGTTGAAGGGTATAAAAGCTTCAGGCCAAAACAGAATTGAAATTGAAGAGAAGACACTGACAAAACCTGACTTCGCAGCCTGCGCCACCAGACCCTCCGCTTGAGACCCACAGACCTCTGGTGGAAGATTCAAGCTGCCGCAAGCCCCACCCACTGGTGAGGGGCTGCTGGGGGCCAGGGTAGAGTGGGGGGAGGGGGGGTGCCACAGGCAGCGACTGGAACTCCCTCGACAGGTGGGGACGCTTCGAAGATCCTTAGTTTGCCCTTCTGTTCCATCTCCTCTCCTCTCTCATTTCTGTCTCCTTTCGCATTGCCCACTGTAATTGTTTTACGTAGATCTTTTCTCTGGGTGGCAGCTGGGAATTAGTCCACCTTTCTTCCCCAGGCTGAATAAATCATTTCCTCTTCTTTTCCCCTCCAGCACTTTGCTTATTCATTAACTGTTTCTGGTACTTCACATATGGCTGGTCACACCCCATGTCTCTCGTGTCAGACTATATTTGGGGCTTTTGGCCCGAAACCAAGCACATATCACCTTTTCAGAAGTTGGTTGTCAAATTAAGAGTGTCAGTCTCCTTTCCTCCTCTTTCCTGGTCTCCTCTCGGCCCCCAGCTGTGTTCCCTGTCCCCAGTGGATTTTGTTGAGGGAAGGGCCTTAGAAGGCATGGGGTCTGAACAGTCTTGACCTATCCACCTTCCCTTCCAGGCTCCATGCTGGGCTCTCCCTCCCTTCTGTGGCTCCTGGCTGTCACCTTCTCCTTAGCTCCCAGAGGGCAGCCCTTGGGCCCTCGAGACCTTAAGGAAGAAGAGAAAGATGAGACCCCACAGCCACCTTCGTCCGCTGTCCCCTGTGACTACGACCGTTGCCGCCACCTGCAGATGCCATGCAAGGAGCTGCAGAGGGCTGGACCCACGCCCTGCCTGTGCCCTGGGCTCTCCAGCCCCGCGCAGCCGCCTGACCCTCCGCGCTTGAGCGAGGTGCACGTGGTGGCCGAGGTCGGCAGCGCGGTGGTGCACTGGTGCGCCCCCTCCTCCCCGGTCCACCAGTACTGGCTGCTGCTAAGGGAAGGCGACGGGGCTCCCCAGAAGGGCCCCCCACTCAACTCGACTGTCCGCAAAGCAGAACTGAAGGGCCTGAAGCCCGGGGGCGCTTATGTCGTCTGCGTGGTGGCTGCAAATGGGGCCGGAGAAAGCAGCGTGCCGCCGGCAGGTGGGGAGGACCTCGAGAAGGTGGGTGGCCCTGCCTTGGGGCCCTGCAGGAAGCTGGCCGTGCCTCCCAGACCCCAGACCCTGGTCCACGTGGCTATCGGGGTGGGCGCAGCGCTGGTCCTGCTGAGCTGCTCTGCTCTGGTGTGGCACTTCTGCCTGCGTGAGCGCTGGGGCTGTCCCCGCCAGGCCGCTTCCCGACCCACCGCAGGGCTCTGAAGCAGCCTGGGGGCCTCTGGGGCCCAGCTGAGTCCAGGCTTAGACAGGCGAGGTCTGCTTGGACTCCGTGGGAGGAGGCAGTGCCCGCTGCTGCCCCAAGCAGCCTGGACAGCAGAGCAGGTGGCCAGGCGCTCAGGCTCCAGCGGAGTCTCAGTGTTCAAGCTGAGAGCTCATTCAGGTCCCAGACTTGCCATCCTGCTCTAGGCTGAGGTTTTGAAAGGAGAAGGCATTGGGAGCTTTGTCCTTGAAGGACCAGATAGTAAATAATTTAGGCTTCGCAGCTCCAGAGAATAAAAGCAAAGATATTACGTAGGTAGCTCCTTAGCTGGGTGACCATGTGAAAATGTAGAAACTGGGGCTCATTCGGTTAAGCGTCTGACTTCGGCTCAGGTCATGATCTCACTGCTCGTGGGTTCGGGCCCCGCATTGGGCTCTGTGCTGACAGCTCAGAGCCTGGAACCTGGATCAGATTCTGTGTGTGTGTGTGTGTGTGTGTGTGTGTGTGTGTGTGTGTGTGTGTGTCTCCGCCCCACCCCTACTCCCTCTCTGTCTCTCCTTCAAAAATAAACATTAAAAAAAAATGTAGAAACCATTCTTAGCTCATGGGCCTGAGAACTCAGGCCCCGGCCGTAATAGACCTGTTGGCTATAGTTAGCCAATCGCCACCCCTGTCATACACCCTCAAAAGGGCTCTGGTGCATTGGTGGCTTTAGTGGGACTTTGAGAACGAGCTCCTTGCAGGATGGGAGTTTGGGGCAAAGCTACTCCTGCTTTTACTTTTGGTTTAGTTATTGAAGGTGGGCACACCTGAGTGAGGATCCACCTGTGCTTGAAGTGGGCGGAAATGAGTGGCTGACATGGGATGGAAAAAGAGGGACCCTGCCTGAGCTGCTATCCGGGACATTTCCCAAATCCAAGGGATGTCCCCCCACTTCCCCTCAATTTGTGTGTATTGTACATCCACTGTACCAACATTAAAGGAACTGTTAAAGGAAGACATTTGCATTTTCATGAACCTTTTCATTTCCCTGTCCACACACCTATTTTTCATAGTGTCTCCTTTTCTCCCCCAGAGTGATATATGTTATCAAATTTCTCTCCACTTAACTGGGTGTGGAGAAGTCTGAGATGGCTACAGAGTATGATCCTTGTTTTTGCTGGTTTTATAACATTTAATTACTTTTTTATTATGTTTTTAAAATGTTTTCTTTATTTCTGAGAGAGAGACAGACAGCGTGAGCAGGCGAGGGTCAGAGAGAGAGGGAGATACAGAATCTGAAACAGGCTCAAGGCTCTGAGCTAGCTGTCACACAGAGCCCCAAGATCATGGCCTGAGCCGAAGTCGGACGCTTAACCGACTGAGCCACCCAGGCGCCCCATAACGTTTAACTATAGAAATAACATTTATACGAGTTTCAAGTACCACTAAGGAATATAAAGGAAAGTTCCCCTTCTCTGGAGGTAATCACCCCCAGCAGAGCGGCGCTTTAGGCAATGCAAATGTTTTCTTTATTCACTCAGTGGATAATGGGCAATGTTCCACAATGTTCCACGATTTTGGAGCCTCCTTAGTCATGTCAAAGGCTGCATTTTTTTCCATGGGACGATGCTCCTTAACTGACAGAAGCCGTCGCTCTTTATTGGAACATTTGTTTAGTGTTTGTTGCAGATGTCTTTGTGTATCCTCACATGTTTGTATTTCTATAGGGTACTGACCTGAAAGTAGATGAAAGAACGTAGTCCTATATAATTATTAATTTTAAAAAATCATTGGACTTCTAGGATAAATTTAGAATACGTTTGTTATCTATAACACACTTGCCACACCGTAGTGAATACTTTGTCCATTTTTTCTTTGCTTCCTGTATTTTCTCAGCATTTATTCGTTTACAAGTAACGAGGGTCCACTCTCTCATTATTCAAGACGTGCTTTGCATTTTTACTTACTCTTCACCAGTTATTACGAGAGACAGTACCCCCTTTGAAGAAATGAGAAATTTGAGGTTGTAAATGGTTTGAGGCAACAAATAAGGAGTTAGGATGCCCAGCTCTAAAGCTGACGTTCCCTCCACTAGGGAGAGGCAACACAACATAGTGGTTTAGTGAATGCACACTGCATGGGTTTGAATCCTAGCTTGGTTATTTACCAGCTTCGTGACATCTTTCTGTGTGTGTTTTCTCTGACTAATAGCAGTATAATCATATAGATTGTTGTGATGATTAAATATGCATTAATCCTATAAAAGTTTCCAGCACGTACACTTATTAATACCAGTAACTTAGTAGGACTCTGCCTCCAAATAAACATTCAAAGTGAGTTTACCTTAAGAGCTCTAATGGCCTGGGGCGCCTGGGTGGCTTAGTCGGTTAAGCGTCTGACTTTCGCTTGGGTCATGATCTCGCGGTTCGTGGGTTCGAGCCCCGCGTCGGGCTCTGTGCTGACTGCCAGCTCAGAGCCTGGAGCCTGTTTCAGAGTCTGTATCTCCCTCTCTCTCTCTGGCCCTCCCCTGCTCACGCTGTCTCTCTCTTTCCTAGAAATAAAAATTTAAAAAAAAAGAAATAAAAATATTTTTAAAAAATCAATAAAAAAGAGCTCTAACGGCCTAAGCCTAGTGGTGTAGGGCTAAGTAATCACGAGGACTACACAGGGGAATAAATGGTTAATGGGGTAAATATTGGAGCTGGGAGGTGGAAAGGGGGTAGTCAAAGGATTCCTTTAGAAAGCAAACCTGGGGTCCCGGCTGAAAAGTGGGAGTTAACCAGTCCCACCAAAGAGGCAGGACATCCCAGGCGGAGGGACGGGTAGGTGCAGGGGCCTGGAAGAGCAAAACGCCCTGTGGCACAATCTGCACAAATAACGAGCAAGTGGTGGGAGATGAAACCGCGCACTACCAACGTTTACACCGCGCGCTCTTGCCGGATACCTAACGGGAGGACTTATCGTTACTCTCACTTTACAGACAGGGCTCTAAACAAACATCAAAAACGGAGGAAGCCAGGCTACTAAGCACTTAGGTTTCATCCTGAGTGACTGGGGTGTCATGGAGAATATTCGAGCAGGGAGGTGATGACAGGATCACATAGCTGTGTTTTGCAAAGATCCCTCTGGCAGGCGAGCGGAGGATGGCTCAATTCCCCGGAGAGGATGAGCGGGTCAAAGAGTAGGAACATTTCTATGGCTCCTGATCCACGATGCCAAATAATTTTCCAATCGGCTGCGCCCAGAGCTTGCTTCGTTCCGCCCATGGGTTTCAGAGCCGCACCACCCCTCTTCCCCTCCGCTGCCGGGCGTCCCAGCTTGCGGGGATCGCCTCATCGCCCTTGACCCGGACGCACCGCCCATCCCCGCCCATCCCCGCCCTCACAGCGTCCAGGCAGCCCGGCCAGGCGCGTGATTTCTGGCTCTCCGCGGCACCCGTCCGCGTCCTCCCCCACGTGACCCAAACAGATCCGGGCACTTCCGCTTCCCCTCGGCTTTCTTCTCGTCTGTGTCCGCGGCGGGGCCAGAGCCGGGTAAGTAAGAGAACGCCCGGCTGGGCCGTCGGGCGCGGCACCGTGCGCGGCCCGGGGGCCACCCCAGCGCTGACCTTCCTTCTCCCTCCTTCTCGCCCGCCTCCAGGTCCCCGCGGAAGCGGCGGTGGTGGCGCCATGGCGGAGCTGACGGCTCTGGAGAGTCTCATCGAGATGGGCTTCCCTAGGGGACGCGCGTAAGGGAGCCCCCCTAACCCTGGCCCGCGGGGATCGCGGACCTGGCTGCGCCTTTCCCCCAGCCTGGTGTCAGGCTCCACGCCCCAGCCTGATCCGCACCATGGCTCGCGGGCGCTATTCACGGTGTTTCTGCCCCCAGGGAGAAGGCTCTGGCCCTCACGGGGAACCAGGGCATCGAGGCTGCAATGGACTGGTGAGCGCTCAGACCGGGTCGCAGGGGACTTGGGAACTGCTGGAAGTGGCAGCCTCGTTGTTAACGTCCCTCCCGACTTCCCCTGCCAGGTTGATGGAGCACGAAGAAGACCCCGATGTAGACGAGCCGCTAGCGACCCCTCTTGGACATGTCCTGGGCCGGGAACCCACCTCCTCGGAGCAAGGTGGCCCTCAAGGTCCTGACCGAGGGACACAATGTGATTATTCACGAGGGCTCGAGGAGGATGAACGGACAGTAACACCGATTGCTTGTTTGTAGGAACCAGCTCTACCGCCGGAGAAGGCAAACCCGTTTTGAGTGAAGAGGAGAGACAGGAACAGACTAAAAGGTATAGTAACGAACAATGTCACATTTCTGGGCGTCGCCTTCCACGTTTGCATGCTGCACGAGTCTGATCAAAGAACCTGGACCTTCCCGCTTGCCCGCTGTCCTTCCTTGACGGTTTCCTCTTTGTTCCTGTCATTTCTTTTGGGCCCCATGTTCCCTGGTTTCATTTAGGATCCTTACAAACTCCCCTTCTCAACCAGTGTCCATTTCTTTTGAGCTGTTTCCTTTCTGCAACACAGGATGTTGGAGCTGGTGGCCCAGAAGCAGCGGGAGCGGGAAGAAAGAGAGGAGCGAGAGGCATTGGAACGGGAACGGCAGCGCAGGAAACAGGGGCAAGAGTTATCAGCCGCTCGACAGCGGCTCCAGGAGGATGAGATGCGCCGGGCTGCTGAGGAGCGGAGGAGGGAGAAGGCTGAAGAGTTAGCAGCCAGGTCCGGGTGCTGGGGATATGGCTGGTAGCGGAGAAAGGAATCTAGATTTGCTTTGTCAGTGTTCCGACCTACTTTCTTCCTGTCTGCATTCCAGACAAAGAGTCCGAGAAAAGATTGAAAGAGACAAAGCAGAGAGAGCCAAGAAGGTAGGTGATTGGGAAAGCACTGGGGTGATGAAGTAGGTAGGCAAGTAGAAACCCTTTTCTAGGTTCAGAGGAGGACGGGCGTCCAGCGTTACTCTTAAGAGTGGGCGAGCCTGATCGGTGTTTTCCTCCGTCCAACAGTACGGTGGGAGCGTGGGTTCTCGGCCATCGCCACCAGCAGAGCCAGGTCCTGTTCCCTCCTCTCCCAGCCAGGAGCCTCCCACCAAGCGGGAATATGACCAGTGTCGCATACAGGTACCGATTCTAATTCCTGTCTTGCTTCTGGGGCCCCTTTGTCCGCCTCAAAGGTACCTGGCTCAGAGCTTTTTTCGGTGATGTTGCCTTCGCCAGATGTCTCCCTTCTTTGTAGATGACTTTTGAAACCCTACCTCCTCTACTCTCAGGAAAGATCGAATTTCCCTTGCTCCAGTCTTATTTAAATCCACACTTCCGTCTTACTCAGCAAGGGCCTTTTCATTTGGTCCTGTTTTCATTTCGCTTATTACACAGCTGTTTGCGGGGCGCGGTATTTACCTAGAGGTTTTTGGATGCTGCTGTCTTTGTTAAAAGAGGAAGCTGGGAGCCTCTCTTCAGTGCTTAGTGAAACACAGCAGAAGTGGTGGTTCATTAGGTGCTTTTAAAGCGTAATTACGCCGGTTCAGTCTAAGAGGATGCAGAAGGCAGCTTTGCCATGCTTCTTTTCCTTACTCGATACTCGGAGCGCCTCACTCAGTTTTGATGCTCACAGTACCGTGTCTCACGCTCCCCCTCTAGGTCAGGCTGCCAGACGGGACGTCGCTGACCCAGACGTTCCAGGCCCGGGAACAGCTGGCAGCTGTGAGGCTCTATGTGGAGCTCCACCGCGGAGAAGAACCTGGAGGGGACCAGGACCCCGTGCAGTTGCTCAGTGGCTTCCCCCGGCGGGCCTTCTCAGAGGCTGACATGGAACGGCCTCTGCAGGAGCTGGGTATGACACGTGGGACCAGACTCCAGACTTGGGGGAGGGGCGGGGATGCCTGAGAAAGGACAGAATGCCACGGGGAAGGGACTTTGTGGAGGCGGTATGCAGCCAGAAACGTTGGGGGGCAAAAGGCAAGGATCTTTGTGGTCAGACCTGTTTTCTCGTCTTCAGGACTTGTGCCTTCTGCTGTCCTCATTGTGGCCAAGAAATGTCCCAGCTGAGAGGCCTTCATCCCACCATCCCTCTCCGACCTCTTCATGTTTGATAAAGCACTGACATCTCCTTCCTAATAAATAGGCCCTCTGAGTTCTGTACGTGCCTGACTCCTTCCTGCACGGCTGGGAGGGACAAAACTCAGGCAGAGGAAGAAGCTAACGGGAAGGCACTTAGAATAGACCTTATTTTTCATCTTCAGTTTCCAACGAGGAAACCTTGATTACAGTCTCTGGGTATTTTTATTTGGGAAGTTAAGAGCAGCATTGGGGGTGGGGAGTACGATGAGTAGCACGTTTTGCTCCTATGGGGAAGGCAGTCATAAGCCTGAGACCCTTACTTATGTGCCTTTGTTTGTTTTGTTTTTTGCACCCCTCCGCCTCCCATCTTGACTTCTGGAAGCCCGCCTACCTAGTTACTTCTTACTAAAACAGGGATGATAGGACCTATTAATTCAGCTTGTTATGGGTGTTATGTAATGCTGATAAAGGGTGCTTTAGTTTAGTTCCTGGCACTTAATACGTTCCCAATGAGTATTAGCTATTAAAAGAGTAATGGCGCCTGGGTGGCTCGGTTAAGCGTCTGACTTCAGCTCAGGTCATGATCTCATGGTCCGTGGGTACGGCCCTGCATCAGGCTCTGTGCAGAAAGTGTGGAACCTGCTTGGGATTCTCTCTCCTCTGCCCCTAACTCACGCGCACATGATCTCTCAAAGTTTTTTAAAAAATAAGTTTAGAAATCAATTTTTGTAGGAGGCCCCTGGGTGGCTCAGTCAGTTAAGTGTCCGACTTTGGCTCAGGTCATGATCTCCTGGTTCAGGAGTTTGAGCCCCACATTGGGCTCTGCAGTGACAGTGTGGAGCTTGCTTGGAATTCTCTCTTCCCTGCTCTCCCTCTGCCCTTCCCCTACTCACGTACGTGCTCCCTCTCAAAATAAATAAAAGAAAAAAACGGTAATTTTTTTCCAATGTGGCCATTCATAAAGGTTGAGGAGTACTTCTGTGACGTTCACAGCTGCATTTACTCTTTACCAAAAAGTATGAAGTACCTAATATGTACCCCCCAGTCGTAAGTGCTGTATGTGTATTAACAGAGCTAGGAAGGCAGTTATCTGGGCGTTGGTACAGTTATGCCATCTTTATTTTATTTTTATTAAGGTTTTTATTTAATCTCTACACCCGATAATGCAGCTTGAACTCACAACCCCGAGATCAAGAGTCACGTGCTCTTCCTACCAAGCCAGCCAGGTGCCCCCAATCATCCCATTTTAGAGACTAGGACACCAAAGTGGGTGACTTGCGGAAACCAACAGGTGGCGGACCACAGAACCTGGACACGTCTGGGGAGCCTGACTCTAGGGTTCGGGCTCCGAACTTCCCAAGTTCCTTCATCACCAATAGCCCCTGGCTGCTGCTCTCATCCTAGAGCTCCCTCAAACAGCTGCTGATCTTTCCCTTTCATTCCCCTGCTAGGAAAGAGGCCACGGTTAAACCAAAGATCACACATAACAAGTGTGTCTGGCTTAGTACTTCACCATCCATCGGGTGAAATCCGCGCCAGTGCACCGTCTGGGTTTTACACTTCAGTGTTACCAAGCTTTATTTAGTGTCCTGGGTTTACTTAAATAAAAGGGGCACCTGGGTGGCTCAGTCCATTGAGCGTCCCACTCTTGATTTCGGCTCAGGTAATGATCCCAAGGTCTTGGGCTTGAGCCCTGTGGGGGGCTCCATGCTGAGTGAGGAAGCTGCTTGAGATTCTCTTTGGAGGCGCCTGGGAGGCTCGGTTGGTTAAGTGTCTGACTTCAGCTCAGGTCATGATCTCATGATTCATGGGTTTGAGCCCCTGTCGGGCTCAGTGCTGTCAGCTCAGAGCCTGGAGCCTACTTCAGATTCTGTATCTCTCTCTCTCTCTCTGCACCGCCCCCGACTTGCACTCCGTATCTCTAAAAATAAATAAAAATTTTACTTTTTAAATTTCTTTTACACTTATTTATTATTGAGAGACAAAGCACGAACGGGGGCGGGGCAGAGAGAGATGACACAGAATGCGAAGCAGGTTCCAGGCTCTGAGCAAGCTGTCAGCACAGAGTCCGACATGGGGCCCGAACTGGCAAACCGCGAGATCATGACCTGAGCTGAAGTCGGTCACTCAACTGACAACCACCCAGGCGCCCCTAAAAATAAATAAAAATTAAAAAAAAAAAAACATTCTCTCCCTCTCTCCCCTGTGTGCGCGCACACTCTCTTAAATGAATAAATAAAAGCAGATTCCCCCCCCACCCCTCAATTGCCATCTTCTTTGGAACCACAGGATGTCATATAGACCACCGGGAAATGAACTGCTGGACTTGGCTGTAGGGAGAGACCCAACTGCCAGCTTTATCTCGTTCCCTCAGAGATCCCAAGACTAGATTCAGGGATTACAAGCGACTACAGTGAAAACCTGGAAGAGGAAAAAAATCCCACCACCTACATCCAAAGGCTGGTCTGTGCCAAGCACTGCACTTTACAATTCTAAGAGAATCTTTTTACAACAAACCTCAAGATAATTGTCACCTTTTATGTAACAGGACTGTGGCTCCAAGAGGTTTTGTAACATGGAGGACTTTAATCAAGATCTGTCTGACTGAACGCATGCTCCTTTCACCCCTAGCAAATTGGCCTCCAAAGGTTCAATGGCCCCAGAAAGCATCACAGCACACGCTGAATGCTATAAGCCCCTCTCCAACCTCACAGGACAGGGCACCATTTGCTACAGGATTTTCCACCATAGTTCTGATTTCAAGAATGTCACTTGGTTATCATCGAAAGTACGCTTGAACAGATCACATGACTTGTGTTTTGAGCATGTGGTCGCTGCGGGGCAGGTGGGAGCCACAGTCATCCGCATCCCCAGCACGGACCCCCAGAACACTCTAGACATTTATAGGCGCCAGACAGCAGTGCTCACTGACTTGACGGAGGAACGTGATTTATTGGTTCCTTGAGTTCGCCATATCCGACGCCCCCGCCCGCGACGTAGGACGTTCAAGTCAGTGCAGCTTTTGAGGAGGGACGTGCTCACCCGACAGCTGCTCCTCAGGGGCTCCGGGAGGCCCGGGCGCGGCATCCTCGATGCGGACTCCCCGCTGGGCTCACGGAGGAGAAAGGCGGCCTCTGACTCTTGCGCGGGAGCAAGGTCCCCGCGCCCACGACGGAAGTCCCAGCTCACGCGGACTTGCCGCCGCCGCCGCCGCCGCCCATCCAGTTCTTCCTCCAGGCCACGTTCTCTTGCGTGGCCGCTGCCTCCTGCAGAGTGGCCAGCACTAACTCTTTGGTCCTGGCCGCCTCCTCCCTGCGCCGCGGGTCTTGCTCCGGCATCTCCTGCGGGCGGGAAGGGAAGAGAGGTTCGCAGTCCTGACTCCCCCAGCCCGGCGCTCTCCGCCCGACCACCCCTCCTCGGACTTCCAATCGCTCCCCACCTTCAGCATCGCCTGCATCTGCTGCTCTCCCGGGGTCACGAGGACAAAGAGCGCGGATCCCACGCCAGCCCCGGCGCCCAGAAGGGCACCCACGATCAGCGCTTTGCGCAAGGTCTCCATGGCCGAGAGCCGACCGGCGAGGCGCTCCCGGGAGAAAGCGGACCTTGGCGTCTCGCCGCCCGCCCCCGCCCCCGCCCCCGCCCCCGCGGAGGCTAGAGCGGCCCGCGGCGGAAACCATAGAGACGGGGTCGGGCTAGAGAGGGCCGCTCGGTGAAACTCGAACCTAGAGCGCCTGGGTCTTAAAAAACAAAACAAAACTGGGTTTAACTGGGAAGCTTGAGAGCGTCCAGAAGCGTTGGCGTCGAGGCCCGAGCACGGGACCCATTGTCATGAAGGCCAGGGTGGGATTGCTACAGGGAGCGTGCGTGTCGGAGTGCGTGTCCTCATGGTTGCTGTGGGACTTACAGCTGTCCATTTCCAAAATCTCAAATTTCCTGGTGGATACAGGGCTCGGGCTGTGCTCTGTAGCTTCCTACAGTAACGTGTGCTTTCTCAGTACACCACATACTGGACATCCAGATACTTACATCAGTCTGTTGATCCACTCCAAATCCCCTTAACTTCTGAACAAAAACTCAAAGCCAAATGTACTGGGTGGGGGGAAAGATATATTTCTGGGTTTTTGTTGTTGTTGTTGTTGTTGTTTGTTTGGTTTTTTTTTTTTTGCTTTACTTGTTAAATTAACGTGTTGAGAGTAAATTTGTTGTTTTCTCCTCATGGGAAACCCTTGGCTCCCCGACCCCACCCCCCGACATGAAACCTCTGGATTTGGAGTAACACACTGAGTTCTAGTTTGGAGAAGAAAGCACCTTTCTGTTGTGTGGCTCTGAGCAAATCATTTAAGTTCTTTGTGCCCTGGTTTCTGCATCAGAAAATGGGGCCAATGCCTATCTATCTCATAGTTTTAAGATAAAATTAGATGAGTTTATATATAAAGCATTTAAAAACAGTTACTGGTAAATATTAAACACCCTATAAATATTCATTAAGTAAGACACAAAGAAACGTCAAATTGGGAGACCCAGTAAGCAAAGGAATCAGGAAAATTCCAAGTTTGTTAGCAAAGCTCTTCACTCACAGGGCTTTAATCCAGATGCCCTTGTTGACTCCTGCCCCTCCTGCCTTTCCCAGTGACACCAGGGAGTGAGACCTAAATCTCCTATCCCACCTCTTGGGATTTTCCCCTCCCCTGGAAGGCCCATAATCTCCTAGCTTGTCATTCTCTTCTCAGAAGTGATTAGGGGCCAGGCTCCAAAGATTAAAGGAGCAGTCTGTGGGGTGTCCTGAGTAGGGGTACTCCACTTTGAGTTCAACCACTCTGCCCTCTTAAGAATTAGCACCCATGGCCCTTATGCCAGGGAGCAGCGAGGATGGGCCTTGGTCTAGAGATAGCCCAGGCTCCTCACAGCACCCCGAAAGTTCTAAGCTGACCAGCCCCCTGTGGAAGGACAGAGAAATTGGCAGGGTTGAAGGTCACCAGGATGTTCAGGTTAGTACTCCCCTACCCTGTGACCTGCTGCTGTCTCATCCTCCAATTTGGTCCAAGCACCCTGCTGTCCTGATTTAGGAGATCTCTCAAAAGACCCGCCTGCCCTCTGTTGTGGTGGAAACCTCTGAGGGGAGTGAAGAGAGCGGCGAGCTTGGCTGGCCACATGAGGAACTGCTGCTGCTCACTGATGAGGAAGAGGAGGCCGAGGTCTTCTTCCAGGACCAAAGTGAAGAGGCAGGTGAGGGAGGCGGCTGCTTCAGTGGGGCCCTTGCCACCTGGATGTTCTGGGCAGGGTCCGGTTAGAAAACTCAGTATCCCCTGCGTTACGCAGTACGAGGCTCACAGTAGATGCTTAGTAAATGTAGTTAAGAATGACAAAGAGGTAGAGCGAAAAGTCAAGGTGTCTGGAAAGGTTGAACTTTATTTTTTTATTTAAAAAAATTTTTTTAGGTTTACTTATTTTTGGTAGAAAGAACACAAGCAGAAGAGAGAGGGAGACACGGAATCTGAAGTAGGCTCCAGGCTCTGAGCGGTCAGCACAGAGCCTGATGCAGGGCTCGAACCCACAGACCATGAGATGATGACCTGAGTTGAACTGAGCCACCCAGGTGCCCCTAAAGTTGAACTCTAGAGGGAAGTTGTAATTCAGATGGGTGATGCCTTTTAATTATTTTAAAAATATACTTAATTTTTCAAAATATTTACATTGTTGTGTGTGTGGGGATGAAAGGTAATAAAATTATCCCAAATTGACTACCCAGAGAGGTTACATTTTGGATGCCTTTTCTTCCAGAATTTCCCCCATCTGATACTGTTATAAAAAGCTTATTTACTAGCATTTACAGTGGGCCAGGCACTGTGCTAAATGCTTTTATCTCATGATTTTCAGAACCCAGTGGGGGAGACCCTTTTATCCTGAGGAAACGGGACCATGAAATTAGGCTCTTAATCACAAATGCTGTATTACTTCCTTTCTTTAAAATGTTTTATTTATTTCTGAGAGAGAGTGTGAACAGGGGTGAGTCAGAGATACACAGAATCCGAAGCAGGCTCCAGGCTCTGAGCTAGCTGTCAGCACAGAGCCTGATGCGGGGCTCAAACCCACAAACCGTGAGATCATGACCTGAGCCGAAGTTGGATGCCTAACCGGCTGAGCCACCCAGGTGCCCCTGTATTACTTTCTCATAACTAAAAAAGAAAAATCACACAAATTTGTTTCCTCTTTCAAAAAAATCAGTAACATATCAGGAATACTTTTCACTTTTTAAAAAATATTTTTGAGAAACAGCGCACACGCAAGCGTGCACATGGGTGGGAGAGCGGCAGAGAGGGAGACAATCTGAACCAGTCAAAGGGCTGAGCTGTCAGCATAGAGCCCAATGTGTAGCTCAAACTCACCGACGGGGAGATCATGACCTGAGCAGAAGTAGGATGCTTAACTGACCTACCACCCAGGTGCCCCCAGGAATACCTTTCACTTTTAATGGGCTCTTCAACTCCCCTCTCCCCAAGGCTGGACTTGGAGCCCACTGGACCCCAGATCTCCCTTAAGAACCTTTAACCCAGAACTCAGCTGGGGACAGGAACAAGTAGAGCAAGAGGTCTCCTGGATTCCCGAGGACACAGAGTATCAGGAAGCCTCCAACCCCTGTCTTCTCTGGAACACAGCAACAGGCTCCCAAGTGTATAGAAGCTGCTTTGTGGAATATTCGCATCTCCTGCCTCCCAGGAGCTTTGAGGGTAAGTATCTGTTCTCTCTCCCTTAACATTTCAGTGAAGCTTGTTACGAGGCCCTCCTCGCTGTCCTGTAAATCTCCCCCTTTCACAGGCTGAGGGTGGTGAGGCTTGGAGATTAGGCCGCTGGCTCACCCGAGTCTGTCAGTGCTGGGATTTAGATTGAAAACAAAACAGTTTAAAAAACAAAAACAAACTCCTGTATGTGTCCTTAGGAACTGCAGTTAGTTGGGGTTAGAGAATGGTCCGTTGCGCCTTCTCTATTTAGCACACATCTTGTGCCTGGCATTGCTGAGTACTCAATGTTTCACCTAACATTGTATGTAATCCCAACTCCACCTATTATTCCTGCCTTGCAGAGGTGTAAACTGGGGCACAGAAACATCCAGAATATGTGCACATGGCTAGTAAACATGGAGGCCAGGCCTCAAATCCTTGCTTCCCAGCTGTCATACAAAGGATGAAAAAAAAAAAATCCTATCCACCTCTCTCCTCACCCAACGGAAAAATTAGAGTCAGAAGTAAAGTCTTTAACGAGAACCTTGAACCAAGTAAGCAAAGTAGGGGATGCCCCGGAAAGGGCCTAGCTCCTGCACAGTCACAGTCCAGCCTTGGGACCCTTGCTCCAGGCAGGGCAGCCGCACATCAGGGTCCTCATCTGAAAACTGAATCAGGGTCCCCTGGGGGCTTAGGACCCTTAGGCATTCTGACAGAAGCTGGTAAGCCCCAGGCAGACCACCGCGGGCAACAGCATCCCAGGTGCCCTTATCCAGAACTAGCTGGAAAGAGCCGGAGGAAGCCACTGGGCCCAGGTTCTGGGCATCAGCCTGAATGAACTGCAGTCGAGAGGTAGGGTGCCCAGGATACAGGGGTGTTTGGCCGTGGCCACCTTCCAGGAGGCTGTTCATGTGGTCCACCGCCACAGGAGAGAAGTCCACCCCCAGCACATCGACGGGATGTGGACACTTGGTGTAGAGGCCTGTACACAAGCTGGAGGTCCCACAGCCCACGTCCAACACCCGGAATGGATAGGCAGCCCGAGCCTCCTGAAGCAGCGGCAGAAGGAACCCCTGGGCTTCCTCATACCCAAAGAACCAGTCGAACGTGGGGACGCTGCCGATTCGGAAACCGCCATGGAGCTTATCCCAGAGGCGACGGTCGGCCAGGCAGCTACCAGCCAGAGAGCCTGTGGACACGAGTGGAGTACATGTGTCACCTGGCGCCCAAGTTTCATCACAGTGCTGCAAAAAACTAAACCAAACCAACAACAACCAAAAAACCCCGGTGCCCTGGGGTTTGGAGAATCACAATTTCAGGAATTAGATTCCCGGGTCACTACGAACCCGCCTTGCCCTCCCATTCTGCCAACCTTCCCTACCCAACAAAGCGCGGCGCGCCCCGGCCGCCAGGGTCGCCACGTGGAGCGTTGCGCGCAGCGCGGCCATCTGGAGATCCCGGCAAGGTCGGCCAGAGAACCTTCTGCGAAATGTCGCCCGCACTCCCGCAGGAGCCTGAGGTCCAAGAGAAAAGCTGCAATTCCGCTTTGTGGGATAACGCGTGCAGCCTCCCTAAGACAACCTCGGAAAAAACGCAGACACACACCTACTACGGTAGGAAAGGCCTTTATTGTTTGCAACGGGAAATTTAAGAGGCCGGGGACACGACAGCTCCGGCTCCAGGGGCGGCTCCCCAGACCTGAAATCAAAGGAGAAGGTGTGAGCACCCCAGCGAGGAGCCTGCAGAACCTCGGTTCCGCCGAGCTCCTTGGAGCCGGTGTCCCGGCGCTTGAGGATAGAACCCGCGGACCGGAAGCCGCAGGCACCGAAGACATGACGCCGAGGGGGCCGGTGCCCTTCCGTCTGCCTCCGTACATTACGGGGGCCGGGACCGCACACCCGACCCCCGCCAAGAAAAGGAGGGTGCGCAGGCCCCGCCCAGAACCCCCCTCCAGGTTCGGTAGCTCCTACACCCGACTACCTACCCACCCTTCCGCTGTCCGAGGAGAGAGCTAAGACCCCGCCGTGCTCCTTTATATAGCCTCAGTACCCGCCCCTGGGCTGCGATTGGCTCGCGGAGGCCGAGGGGCGGGGCCCACGCGGACCCTGCGCAGAGCCCAAACGCCGGCAGGGAACCACGGTCGCTGCGCGGCCATGGGGGCTCCCGGGGGAAAGATCAACCGGCCCCGAACGGTGATTGTGTGGGAGCTCCGACTTTGTTTCCCCACGCGTCTTGGAGCCCTCTCATCTCGCTAAAGATGGGATCATGGGCCGGAGTCGCCGGGTGCGGGGTCTTGGGTCGCGGTGCGCGGCTTGCGTCTGATTAGCATCTTCCTCCCCGTCAGGAGCTGAAGAAGAAGCTGTTCAAGAGACGGCGGGTGTTGAACCGGGAGAGGCGACTGAAGCACCGGGTGGTCGGAGCTGTGATAGACGAAGGCCTGATCACGCGGCACCACCTCAAGAAGCGGGCGTGAGTGCCAGACTCTCTTCCCTTTGCTCCTCCCCCCCCCACCTCCGCCGAGTCCCCTTTCCCCCTCCCTGTCGATCTCCGCTGCGAGTTACCACCTCGCTTTCCTTGTGCGCTGTGTTTGTGGCTACAGTCCGCTAGCCTGCGACAACACTGGTAGCTCACTTTGGGTCTTGGACACGACTAAGAATCTAAGGGGAACTGTTGACACACCCACCTCCCCAGATAACGTTGTACCGTCACATAGATTTGTATACGTAAATTTAAATGTTTAAAATTTGTATTTTTTCCTTTTTTAAAACATTTTAAATTTATTTTTGCGAGGGATGGGCAGAGAGGGAGACACAGAATCTGAAGCAGGCTCCGGGCTCTGAGCTGTCAGCACGGAGTGGAGGCGGAGCTTGAACCCACAAACCTGAGATCATGACCTGAGCCAAAGTAGGAAGATTAACCAACTGAGCACCCAAGCACCCCTAAATATTCTTATTTCTGAGAGAGTGTGTGCGGAGGAGAGGGGCAGAAGGAGAGAGAGAGAGAGAGAGAGAGAGAGAGAATGAATCCTAAGCGGGTTCCACGCTCATCGCAGCTGAGCTCCACTGTGGGCTCCCTCCCACTACCATGGAATCACCACCTGAGCCAAAACCAAGAGTCAGACACTCAACCAACTGAGCCACCCTGGTGCCCCTATAAGTTAATTTAAAGCACACACATTGGTGCATGCACTCGGTGAATGCACCCTGGGTCTTGGGGAAGAGTTCCCATCCCATTCTTTCATTGACTTCACTGTAAATATTTACAATTTTGTGGTGTAATTAGAAGAATATTTGGTCTTTGTCCCTGATTCCTGGCACAGAACTTCTAAAACCCCTAAAACTTCCTGAGTGACAGGAGGGTCTTTTTTTTTTTTAATGTTTTTTATTTATTTCTGAGAGAGAGAGACAGCGTGAGCAGGAGAGGGTCAGAGAGAGAGGGAGACACAGAATCTGAAACAGGCTCCACACTCTGAGCTAGCTGTCAGCACAGAGCCCGACACGGGGCTTGAACCCACGAACCGTGAGATCATGACCTGAGCCGAAGCCAGGACGCTTAACTGACTGAGCCACCCAGGCGCCCCTGACAGGAGTGTCTTTTAAGGCATATAGGGAGCCCCTTTGAGCACACTTAAGATTATGCTAATGATAACTTAGGGTGGGGTGATGTGAGGGTTAGAAATTTAAGCTCCACCCATCTGGGAAGATTAAGTTCTATAAAAACTCTTGAATAACAGAGATCTGATGAGTTGCCTGGTTAGGTGCTGGGGAGATAGCACACCTGGAGAGGGCAAGGAAACTCCATGCCCCTTCCCCATACCTTACCCTATGCATCTCTTCCATCTGGCTGTTTCTGAATTGAATACTTTTGCGGTAAATAAGTAAATGCAAGTAAATGTTTCCCTGAGTTCTCTGAGCTGTTCTAGCAAATTAGGGAACCTGAGAAGGGGATCATGAGAACCTTGATTTATAGCTGGTCATTCAGAAGTACAGCTTGGGCTAGGGACTGGCCTCCGAAGTGGAATGCTGTCTTGTGGGACCGAGCCCCCAACCTGTGGGATCTGATGCTGCTCTCCCGGTAGATGGTGTCAGAATTGAGTTAAATTTATAGGACTCTCAGTCACTGTCCGCTGAGAATTTGAGAATGGCTTGATGTGGGAAAGCCTCACACGTTTCTGGTGTCAGAAGTATTGAAAATAGGGGCGCCTCGCTGGCTCAGCTGATAGAATGTGCAACTTTTTTTTTTTTTTTTTTTTTATTTCTAGGAGAGAGAGAGAGAGAGACAGCGTGAGCAGGGGAGGGTCAGAGAGAGAGGGAGATACAGACTCCGAAACAGGCTCCAGGCTCTGAGCTGGCAGTCAGCACAGAGCTCGATGCGGGGCTCGAACCCACGAACCGCGAGATCATGACCCAAGCGAAAGTTGGACGCCTAACCGACTAAGCCACCCAGGCGCCCCTAGAACGTGCAACTCTTGATCTTCGCAGTTCATGAGTTCAAGCCCCACATTGGGCATAGAGCCTACTTAAAATAAGATAAAATAAAAAGAAGTATTGAAGATAGAAGAGAAAAATAGCTTTCCCTTACAAGTTTTTGCTATATACCATGCTTTAACATTTAATGTTAAGTACTCTATGTAATGTATGAGAGTAGTATTAAGTATGTTAATAGCTAACTGTTGGGGAGATTTAACTCAACTACCTCAAAGCCCAGATTTTCAAAGTCTTTTTACTTGACTCCAAAGACCATTTCTTTTTGTTTTTATTTATGTTTTATTTATTTGAGAGAGAAAGAGAGACAGCGTGAGCAGAGGAGGGGCAGAGAGAGAGAGAGGGAGACACAGAATCCGAAGCAGGATCCAGGCTCCAAGCTGTCAGCACAGAGCCCAATGCGGGACTCAAACTCATGAACTACGAGATCATGACCTGAGCAGGTGCTTAACCAACTGAGCCACCCAGGCGCCCCCAAAGGCGTTTTCAATAGCCAACTCCAGACTACGGTGGCTCCGGTTAACCTGGACATCTTTGCCGACACCAACCCTTCAGGTCCAGCGCACGTGCCAACATTACCCTCTCTGGGAAGAAGCGCAGAAAACTCCTCCAGCAGATCCGACTGGCCCAGAAAGAGAAAGCAGCCATGGAAGGTGAGGCTGGGGCACAGAGGTAGGGTGAGGGGGGCAGCCCGGATCCGTTGAGGGTCTTTCACACATCCTCTTTCCTTTTGCTCAGTGGAAGCCCCCACGAGGGAAGCCAGGACTAGTGAACCACAGCCCAAACGGCAAAAGAAGACAAAAGCCCCCCAAGACGTAGACATGGAGGACCTTGAAGATAAGAGCTAAACCCCCACGCCTCCTACCAGAAGATTCTCAGCTGGAGCCAGAAGGACTCTGGTTATTTCAGAGGACCTTGGAGAAGGCATTGGCCCCTCTCACTTTTCTCAGATTCCTCTTCCTTAATGGCCTAGGGAGCTGCCCTGTAGGAATGTGTCGAGCGGAAGAGAGTGGAGAAGAAAGATGGAAGAGGGGGCTCCTTAGCAGTCAGCTCCATGTGTAATAAAGCCCTAGACTTCTCACTGCAATGTGTGTTTTAATGGAGGAACCGGGAGGGGTCTATGAGTGGGGAAACAAGACAGTTAGGAAATGAGACCCACGGAGCTTATTTGAGCAGAGGCAACGAGAAGCCAGCCTCCGCACCTGGCTGGCTCAGTCAGTAGAACATGCAACCCTAGATCTCAGGTTGTGAGTTCAAACCCCAATTGGGTGTAGAGCTTACTTAAAAATAAAATCTGGGGCGCCTGGGTGGCTCAGTTGGTTAAGCCTCTGACTTCAGCCCAGGTCATGGTCTTACAGTTCGTGGGTTCGAGCCCCACATCAGGCTCTGTGCTGACAGTTCAGAACCTGGAGCCTGCTTCGGATTCTGTGTCTTCCTCTCTCTGCCGTTCTCCCACTTATGCTCTGTCTCTCAAAAATAAATAAGCGTTAAAAAAGAAAAAGAAATAAATAAAATCTTAATAAAAGGGGAGCACCTGACTTTAGCTCAGCTCATGATGTCACATTTGTGAGTTCGAGCACCACGTTGGGCTTTGTACTGACAGTGTGGAGCCTGCTTGAAAATCTATCTCCCACTCTCTCTCTCCCTCCATCACTTGTGCTTTCTCTCTCTCTCTCAATAAATAAACTTAAAAAAAAATCCACCATTATTAAAAAAATTTTTTTGGGGGGGCGCTTGGGTGGTTCAATCGGTTAAGCGTCTGACTCACAGTTTGTGAGTTCAAGCCCTGCATCAGGCTCTGTGCTGATAGCTCGGAGCCTGGAACCTGCTTCAGATTCTGTGTCTACTTCTCTTGGCCCCTCCTCTGTTCACACTTTCAAAAATAAATAAACGTTAAAAAAATTTTTTTAATAAAGTTTTTTTAAATTTTAATGTTTATTTATTTTGAGAGAGTGAGAGCAGGGAAGGGGCAGAGAGAGACATAGGCACAGAATCCGCACTCATGAACCGCAAGATCATGACCTGAGCTGAAGTCACCGCCCAACTGACTGAGCCACCCAGGCACCCCAAGTTTTTTGTCTTAAAGTAAGTTCTTTGCAGGGCTTGAACTCATGACCTTGAGATCAAGAGTCGCATGCTCTACTGACAGCCAGCCAGTCACCCCAGGATTATATTTTTAATAAAGTGAAGACCAAGTATTATTTTTCCCATTTACCATTCAGAACTGTTGGAAGACAGGGCCGGGGTGTTTTGAAAGTAAAAAGCTGCCTCGGTGGAGGTGTGTTCGGGGTGGGGTGGGGGGAAAGACATCTCCCCTATTTAATCGGTGTAAGCTTCCTTGGAAGAGGGAGGGTTTGGTCCCAGTGTTGCACCTCCTTTCCTCCTGCCACCCGCCCTCCCAACACCCCCCCCCAACTTCATATTTTGAATTTCAAACTCAGGAAAGAAATTACTACAATGAACGTTTATAAATGCATTCTACTTAGATTTACCAGTTTTTAGCATTTGTCAACACTTGTTTTATCTCTATGCACTTGTAAATATGTATGCATGTGTCTTTGCTGACTCACTTGAAGGTCAATTGCAGATGAAATTTTTACCCTCAAGAACATTTTTTTTTAAGGTTTTTGTTGTGTTGTGTTGTGTTTTTTTTTGAGAGAGAACAGAAGAAGCAGAGAGGAGAGAGAGAATCCCAAGCAGGCTCCATAAGGAGTCCCACTCAGGACTCCCATCTTACCAACTATAAGATCATGACCTGAGAGGAAATCAAAGTCAAGAGTTGGTTGCTTAACCGACTGAGCCACCCATGTGCCACAGAACATTATTTTATATAGCCAAAATACTACTATCACACTATTAATACTATGAAGACATTTGACATTAGCTAATACTGAGGTTTTCATATTTGAATTTCCTTAGTTGTTCCAATAATACCAATTATATATATATATATGTTTTTTTGTTTTTTTTTTTTTGAGAGAGTGTGAGCAGGGGAGAGGGGCATAGGGAGAGAGAATCTCAGGGAGGCTGGCACAGCCCAATCCCACAACCCTAGGACTACAACCTGAGCAGAAATGAAGAGTGGGACGCTCAACCTACTGAGGCACCCAGGAGCCCCTCCAATAATATTCTTTATAGCTGTTTTCCCCCTCAATCCAGGAGCTAATCAAGGATCATGTACTTCTTTTATTTTTTTATTTTTTAAAAATGTTTTATTTATCTCTCAGAGACAGCGTGAGCAGGGGAGGGTCAGAGAGGGAGACACAGAATCTGAAACAGCTCCAGGCTCCGAGCCAGCTGTTAGCACAGAGCCCGAGGCGGGGCTCGAACCCACAAACCGTGAGATCATGACCTGAGCCGAAGTCAGACGCCCAACCAACAAAGCCACTCAGGCACCCCTAATTTAAATTTTTTTAAATATGTTTTTATTTTTAAATTTTTATTTTTATTTTTTTTTTTATGTTTTATTTATTTCTAGGAGAGAGAGAGACAGCGTGAGCAGGGGAGGGTCAGAGAGAGAGGGAGTCACAGACCGAAAAAGGCTCCAGGCTCTGAGCTGGCAGTCAGCACAGAGCCCGACGCGGGGCTCGAACCCACGAACCGCGAGATCATGACCTAAGCGAAAGTCGGACACTCAACCGACTAAGCCACCCAGGCGCCCCTTTAAATTTTTAAAAAATATTTTATTTATTTCTGAGAGAGCGAGCGAGCGAGCGAGCAGGGGAGGGTCAGAGAAAGAGGGAGACACAGAATCTGAAACAGGCTCTAGGTTCCAAGCCGGCTGTTAGCACAGAGCCTGATGCAGGGCTTGAACCCACAAACTGCGAGATCATGACCTGAGCTGAACCCACGAACTGCGAGATCATGACCTGAGCTGAAGTCGGACATTTAACCGACTGAGCCACCCAGGCGCCCCAAATATTTTTTTTTTTGAGAGAGACAGAGTGTGAGCAGGGGAGGGGCAGAGACAGAGTGAGATACAGAATCCGAAGCAGGCTCCAGGCTCTGAGCTGTCAACACAGAGCCAGAAGCAGGGCTCTAACTCATGAGCTGTGAGATCATGACCTGGGCTGAAGTCGTACACTTAACCGGCTGAGCCACCCAGGCACCCCTTAATAAGTGATCTTAAGTGATCTTTGCAAAAAGTCTGTCAGATAGGAGAAATACCCATTTTACAGATAAGGAAATGGGCTTCAAACAGTTGGGTCAATCGCTCAGGGTTACATTGCTGATAAATTGCAGACAATTTATCAGAATCTAGATTGTGTCTGTCCAACACTGAAACAGGCATCTTTAGATTATGAAATCCTTAAGAGCAAGGACCACATAATAGTTTCATTCCTGGAGAACTTACATGTTTCAAAAGTCTCCTTAAAAAAAATTTTTTTTTACATTTAATTATTTTTGAGAGACAGCGTAAGACAGAGTGCAAGCGAGGGAGGGGTAGAGAGAGAAGAAGACACAGAATCAAAAGCAGGCTCCAGGCTCTGAGCAAACTGTCAGCACAGAGCCCGATGTGGGGCTCGAACCCACAAACTGTGAGATCATGACCTGAGCCAATGTCCGATGCTCAACCAACAGAGCTGCCCAGGTACCCCAAAAAGTCTCCTTTTATAGATCAAAAGTTGAGGCTCTGGGATGGTTAAGTGTTGGGTCCCAGTTCGAGGCAGTGTTAGGAGTAGAAATATTTACTGTTCTAGAACGGATCTTGCTAGTGGGTAGTATATGATGGAGAGAACAAAGGCAAAAGGAAAAAAATTAAACTTCTTTAAACTTATAGCCCATTGGCAATTACTTGAGACAAGCAGAGTGGCCTTCCTCTGGAAGCTTAGCTGCCTCAATGTTAATATGTTGCCAGGGACAAAGGGCAACCTTAGCTTGACAGTATCCTCCAGGATCCTGTAATAAATTCCTTTCAAAACCTCCTTTATCTCTATCTGCCCAAGATACATGGTAGCAATCATCATCGCCTAAACATAGGGCCCTCTGATACACATCTGAGGGGTTTGACAGCTAAGAATTTACTAGGCTGTAGTAAATAACCTTTTCCTAACATCAGCTAGCCCCTCAAGATCCTGGAAGCCTCAGGTCCAAATTCCTTAGAGACTTAATGCTCTCCCTATCCCCCCTCCCCACCTGAAAGTTTGTCATCAGCCCCTCCTTACAAACCCAACTGCAGCTCTTTTTGCCCACAGGTCATGTTCCCTTTTTTGCACCAAAGAAGTCTCAAGAATTCTTTCTTGACTGTTCACTCGTGAACCCCAACATTTAGGATCAGTGAACATATTCCCTGGTTTCAAGTTTCACAACACTCTATGAGGTAGTTGTACTATTACCATTCTTATTCCCAGAGGAGGAAATAGGCACAGAAAGGGTAAATAGAGTACACAACCAGTAAATGCAACAGCTGAAACTTGATCTTGACTGGCCATTACCGGGGCTCTTGATGAATGCATAGTTCTCTGCATATAGTTTCCGCCCTCCCTTTCCTCAAGGGAGAGGAAGGGCCCTGAGTTGGCAGGTTGGGAAGAGAGCAAAGCCTAAACAGAGACTAACAGAACTGTAGTGCAAGCCTGTGACTGGGAGAGAACCCACAACCCAGCCAGCACAATTTATTTTGGGCTTCCTGTTCCCCCTCTCTTTCCTTTTCCTTTCTTGGGACCCCCCCTTCTTTCCGTCTCCCCCCCCCCCCCGTTTCCCCTTCCCTTCTCTCCTTTACCTGCTTTCTCCATTGTCACGGTCTGTTTACTTATTTATTTGTTTATTCATTTAATATTGTCACTGTTTAGGGGCGCCTG